GAATTTGTATTGTTATGGGGAAAAGGTGGGTGTGAGAGTGCAGAGGCAGAATGGGCCAGAGGCACCTTTTGTGTTTGTTGAGTCTTGGTGTCCAGCAAAAATGCCACCTCTCTCCCAACAACCAAGGACCACCAAGGTAGGGCCAACAATAACAAGAATGACTCTGATGCGGAAGACTTAAGATGAGTTGGACTGAAGGGGCTGTTTCCATGCTGTCTGACTCTGACAGACAGGGCAAGGAGAATCGAGGATGGAATTTCGATGTGACATGAGAGGAGCACCAGGTCAGGACTTGTGGATACAGCAATGGCCAATGGGCGCAGTTTACTCTATGTTGCAGTATTCCTTACAATCTGGGGGCCAGTTAGTGCAATAGGCTGGATTTGTGATGCAGTGTGACACAAACAGTGTGGGCTCAATTCCCATACCCCCCCCGAGTATACCATGAAGGACTCTCCTCCTCAACCTCTCCCCTCACTTGACCCTCAGGTTAAATCGCCATCAGTTGTCTCTCTCTAATGAGACAGCAGCTCTATTCTGGGAGAACTGCTGCGACATTATCTTTGTTCCTTACAGCAGCACCAAAGAAATTCAAACGTGAGCTTGGAGATTCGGAGCCTGTCCCACTGAAATCTGCAGGAAGGGGTTTGGTGATGACTTTTCACTCATTTGGCTATTGGTCAAAAAAAAAAAGCAGTTCCCTGTCAGAATCTCAGTCACAAAAAAGGCCCCTTCGCTTCACAGCCACTATTCTGAATTTCCTCTGGGAGCAGGCCCACACATTACAAAACAAAGCAAAATCCATAAGGCTACAAACAGGACAGAGTGCAGGAATAAACAGTTGGAACAAGCACAATGATGATGGAGAGTGCCACAGCAGTGAAACAAAAACCATGGATAAATAGGTGTGGTTTCCATAAATATCCCCATTCTCCCTCCTGTCTCCTGCCAAGTTACTAAGTTGTTTACTCTGTGGATTTTGGTTTTCTTTAAAAAAATCTACCAACCTTTTAATGCATTTTTAATGAAATCTTCAAGGCCAGATTTTCAGCACATCACTTCCCCTTAGTCCCAGACCTCCTAGATCCAGAAACTTGTACAGATCTAAAAATAGTGGATCACACACAGAAGATATTTTGTCTCCAGCAGTACAGTGGGAATATAAAAGGATTAAAGATGAACAGGTCTTTCCACGCTGCCCAAGGGACTGAGACTCCATCTCATTCAACAGCGACTTTATGATCAGCCTGGCTTTTTAAGTTTGCTGCACTTTGATAAGTATGGATAGGTGCAGTGGAACGTCAGACCAACCAAGAGATCTCATATTGGCATTGACTCGCTGCTGAACATCAGGACTGGACGTGACACATGCATTCAGTCAGTGACTCCACATAACAGGAGGGAGGGAAATTCCCTACAGAAGCAGCATGATGGCTCAGTGGTTAGCACTGCTGCCTCACAGCGCCAGGGACCTGGGTTCAATTCCACCATCGGGCAACTATCTGTATGGAGTTTGCACATTCTCCCCGTGTCTGCGTGGGTTTCCTCCGGGTGCTCCAGGTTCCTCCCACAATCCAAAGATTTGCAGGTTAGGTGGATTGGCCATGCTAAATAGGCCATAGTGTCTAGGGATGTGCAGGATAGGCGGATTAGCCATAGGAAATCCAGGGTTATGGGGATAGAGTGGGACTGGGTGGGATGCTCTTCAGAGGGTCAGTGTGGACCCGATGGGCCAAACGGCCTGAGTCCATGCTGTATGCATTCTACGTTTCTATGCTCCAAGGAAAGAGAAAGACGACTACATAAAACACAAAAAGTTGAGGAGGACAGGATTGAAATTGGGATTGAAGTACAACCATGGGACAAGGATCAAACAACACTTGCCTCAAGCCACATCTGAACAGGGTTTGATACAGATCAGACCAAGCAGGACGAATAAGCAATGCTTTGCACACCCAAATTAATTCACCAGAGATTCATCCTCTGAAGAAGTGAAAATGAAAAGAAAAAATGGCATTTTAAAGCCCTTGAACGTCCAAAGAGCCATCATCGCTCAAACATTCCCTCCAGCTGGCAGGATCATTTCGCAAAATGCCACAGAGCTTGGGCAGACGGTTGATAAATACAGACAGGGAAAACACTCGTGTAATCACAATTTCGAAACTGCAAAGACAATGTCATACTTCAAAACCATGATGTTATTTTATAAGCCTTTAGTGAAATTTCCAATTAACTTTAATACCTATTCTGTGAATCAACACTTTAGCATTCTCTATAATTAGTGATCTGTGGCAATATAATTATGGGATTGATTACATCTAACATTCAGTCAATTTTCCCACATTATAACACAATTACCATGAACAAGAAAACAACAAAACAGAAAGAGAAAGCCCTAACTATACACATCAATCACAGGCTTAACTTATTCTGGTTACATATAGACTATATTGCTAAATGGGCTCTTATGATGCAGTGGTAGAGTCCCTACATCTGGGTCGGAAGTCTGGGTTCAAGTTCCGGCTGCCCCAGACATGTTGTAATAGGTCCAAAGGTCTCACCAATAACTCCGACTCTACCAGCTACTCTGGAGACTGCTTCATTTCAATTAAACACACACCTGAGCTATATCAATTACAATTTCAGTCACATCGTTTGTAACTCACCGCATTCCTACATCAGTTACACTGGTATAACCCCCAAACACACAGTCACACAAGTAAAATCCCAAACCCTTTGGATAGCTCCCAACATTTGGGCACAGAAGCCAGTTTTGGATTTCCATAGAGAACATAAGAAATCTGAATCAGAGATAGTAGGAACTGCAGATGCTGGAGAATCCGAGACAACAAGGTGCAGGGCTGGATGAACACAGCAGGCCTTTCTGATGAAGGGTCTAGGCCCGAAACGTCAGCCTCTCTGCTCCTATGATGCTGCTTGGCCTGCTGTGTTCATCCAGCCCTGCACCTTGTTGTCTCATAAGAAATCTGAAGTTGGGTTCACAGTGCACAAGTGTGTTCAGTAGCTGTAATGGAACCTCAGTTTAGGTAGGAGAATTGACTATACTCACCAGTGTTTAGAAGAATAAGCAGGGATCTCAGAAACCTATAAAATTCTAACAGGGTTAGACAGGGTTAACACAAGAAGGATGTTCCTGGTGAGCGGGGAATCCAGAACCAGGAGTCACAGTGTAAAAAGGTACGGGGTAAGTCATTTCAGACTGAAATGAAAAGAAATGTCTTCACCTAGAGAGTAGTGGAACCTGTGGGATTCTCCACCAGAGAAAATGATGGATGCAGTTATATTGAATGTTTTCCAGGAGTTAGCATAGTTCTTAGAACTAAAGGGATCATAGCTGGAACAGGGTCCTGGGTTGGATGCTGAATGGCTCACTCCTGTTCCCATTTCTATGTTTCTAATGGCTAGCAACCCAAATATCATCAATGTCATGGATACAAGTCAACAGGAAGACCCACGTGAAATGTTCTCTGCTGTGGATGATCCCTGTGGAGAATGCCTGATCTGTTCTGAGGGGATACACTGGTGGGTGCCATAGGGTGAGGAGGTGGAGGGGCCAGTCCTACCTAACCATGCCAACTGTGGCTCAGTAGTAGCACTGTTGCCTGTGAATCAGTAGGTCGTATGTTCAAGTGCCACTGCAGAGACAGGGCAGGACAGGACAATATCTAGATTGACACTCCAGAGAGTTTCATACTTGGTAATAATGTCACTTCAAATTAGTCACTGAGCAGTGTCTCTCGGATGGATTTAATAGTTCCCACACCACAGGAAAAGCAGCAAGGGAGTTCTCTCCGGTATCCTGTTAATCATATAGTTTATGACAAAACCAAAACTTCCAGCAGCTTATAGAGATAGTAGGAACTGCAGATGCTGGAGAATCTGAGATAACAAGGTGTAGAGCTGGATGGACACAGCAGGCCAAGCAGCATCAGAGGAGCAGGAAGGCTGACGTTTCGGGTATAGACCCTTCTTCAGAAAA